CTTAAACGCCTGTAGCGTTTCTTTCCTATACTACCCACGAGTATCTGCCTCCAAGTTAGGGGTGGGCAAAAATCTCGGTCTCGTTTGAAATTAATATGTTATTTTAAATTTCAAATGTTATGTAATAGTCAAACCTAATTAAAAAATTTTAGTCCTTAGTCTCCCTAGTGTAATTTTATCATATTTCATGTCTCTCTTAGTCTTGTTTCTTTTGATTAAAATTTGTCTAGTTCTCATTCCAATAGTAATCCATAATATATTATTACGTACAGAATATTATTTATGATGGAATTGTTGGGTGTGTTTCGGAAAATAAAGAAAATTAATTAAAAGAAATTAATTAAATAAAATGACAAAAGAAAACAGAAATGAGATGGAGCAGAAATTTGTCAAAGCTCGTGCTACGCACGATGTCCTTAAAACGTATTTGTTGCCTCCCACGGTGCTAGGAGCGTTGCAACAATAGTTTCCCAGGATACGATGACAACGAACTAATGTTTGAGCACACAAACAAGAGTTCCAACGAACGAGAACAAAGACTGAACACAGAAGGAATTTTCAGAGTGCTAGCAGTGTGTTTTTAGAGCTAAAACGTGTATGGAGTGCAAGAATGCGTGTAAGAACCTGTGTTGTTGCAAATCACCTGCCAGCCATTATATAGGAGGATTTGTTGTGTGAAAATAGTAAATTAATGGACCTGAACGTTGGACATCAATGACCAGTCCGTTGGGCATTGAATCGTCCATGAACTGTCTATTTAACGCTGCATTAAAAGATATAAACGTTGGGCATTAATTGTTGTAACGTATCAGAAGCGCGACAGAAGACCTCCATCAGAACACCCCGGGAGGGGTTCTGATCGGAGGCCAATCAGAAGACCCCAACTCTGATCCGCGACCCATCAGAGTACCCCCAACTCTGATGGGCGGCCATCAGAATACCCCACCTCTGATGGGCGGCCATCAGAATACCCCATGAGGGGTTCTGCCATCAGAATACCAACGAGAGGGGTTCTGATCCGAGCACTTCTGCCGCTGGGAAAAAATTAAACGTTTCGGGAAGAAAACAAAAATTAATCGTATCTCTTGAGAGATAGATTTCGGGATTTGATTTGCACCCCCCCCCCCTGCGCGCGTGGAGAGAGCCTCTACCGTAAGGAATCTTAACTCCTTAAGGGGGGAGTCCCTTTATAAAGGGTTGCAAATCCCTTGGGTTTTCCGGTGTGGGAAATTAACACTAGAAACCCATCCTTTTTCCCAGTTTTTCCATTCTAACGGGTAAACTTCGAAAAGCGATTTCTCATTCACCCGTTATCCGTTTTGAGCGTACCATATATCGAATTGTAGCCCTTAACAAGGACAATCCGAAACCACTTTGACCCGACCCAAGTCGGAAGTGGACCCCACTCAAAAAATTGCCCCAAAATAGCCATTTAATGCAATTTTTCACACATTTTTCCAACAGGAATAACTATTACTCCAAATTATAGTGTTGTTATAGATTTATTATTTTCCAATATAACTACTAGAAAATATATAGTGTCTTTATAGATATGATATTTAATTTAATGTGATATTGAAAAACTACAAGTGTACTACAAAGTATAAAAATATTTTAGCGCTACTAATCTACTAGAGGAAACACTAGATTAGGGGGACCAAAAAATTTACAAGACAAAAATTAAAAATAGTTAATTAAAGGTTTTACTTAACTTTTTAGGGAAGTTAAATTTGCAAAAAATATTTACGTCTTTATTTTGATGTTATGCTTATTTTTATATCACATTTCACAAATGCATATTTTTTATGGGACATCCCGAACTGTCCCGGGTTTTCTCGGGTTGTCCCGGTCCCGTTTTAAATGGGACAAAATTGGGATAAAGACTCACCCCTTACCGTACCGGACCGTTATTATAAAACCGGGACGGGATCTGGATAAGTCAAATCCTAGACCGTTCCGGACCGTGCCCACTCCTACTCCAACCTCACAAGTATAGCAACTTTTGTCTAAGAGCAAGAAAAGAACGCCAGAGCAAAGACCTTCCCTCACAGTTAGCTATCTAATTCTACTCCATCAACTTAGGTTACCCACTTTAACTAATGCATCCAACAGATCCAATCATCCACTAAGCCCTTTCACCAAGAGGAGTAGATGACACACCAACTCCACATCATGCTCAAAGAAGAACAACGAAGTGTTCGTAATTTAAGGCTAGGGGTCCAAGCCTAATTAGAAGCATTTTAATATTTTAGTCCAATTTTAGAGTATGGGAAGCCTAATTAATCAAAATATTATTCTTAATTACATTTATTAATTCAAGAAAAAATGTTTAAATTAATTATTATTTTTGTTGGTATATTTTAAGTTTTTTCAAGACATAAAATCTAGTTAAACTAATTGTATTAATAAAAAAATTAATTGATGTCCTTAAAAGTCATTTAACAAGTTATCGACTGATTGTAAACAGTCATTTAAACAAACATCATTTGACAAACTGCTAATCGTATCAGCTAATCAAAACAACTAACTAAAGCAATTGTCATCAATCAACTAACACAACCAGTCAATGACCAAATGTCAAACACCCCCAATATCATTCTCATTTTAATTAATAACCGAGTAATTTTACTTTAGATATTTTAGTAATCATCTTATTACTTGATAAAGTGAAGTTAAATAGTATCTAGGCTTTTTAATTTTTTTTATCTTCAAAGTGACTTTAAATTAATAAAATAGCATTCAGCAGGGGTTCAAGATAACAAAAGGACCACATGTAACCACCCGCTCTTGGCCGAGACTCTAAGGTTTAATCACCTTTGACAAAGCAATATAACTCGCTAGACCTAAATTGGACAACAAACAACCATTGACGATTACCATAGACCTCTCATCTCCCAAATCTAATGCGAGAGTCTTAAGGATAAAATAACATCAAAACACAAACGTCTTAACTTGGAAATTAAAATGCATAAAAGATAAGTAAGCAAACTTCAAAATGCGTCGATTAACCTTGGCGGTGGTTCTAGAGGAGGCCGGACCATCGCAACGATTGTTGTTGCACCAAAGCGGTTTTCCTCCGACTCAACCGCTTCTACTTCATCATTGTTGTTGCACTAAAGCGATTTCTCCGGGCATCAAACAGATGCCATTAGATCTAAGCTTTTTAAATAGTAGCAGCTTTTTCATCTTTAGCTTTTTGCATCAAACAGTTAAAAGGAAAATTTCCTTAACAAACACTAAGAATAGATGTTGGGAAAAGGGTCAGATAGGCCCTCGAACTTAGATAAAAAGATCAAATAAGTCTTATATAGGATAATAGGAGGCTCTGTTCGGCCGTCACCATTTGGGGCAGTTCCCGAAGAAATTTTTTGATGAATATTTTTTAGCATCTTATTCATTAAATCTAGTTTACTCATACCAAATTTCAACTAAAACTTCAATCGTGAAGGCATTCAAATGAATTCTTATTTAACCCTTTTCCCATAGATGTTTAATAAAGTCAAACAACTAAAACCAATCAAAAAGTCAAAAAATATTAGGCTATTTATCAAACACCTCTAATATTTGGGCACTAGCTGTCCCACATTATTACGGTACCAGGATTGGGAGCCCAAACCAGGTAGTCATGGACCCAGGCCGGGCTTTTTTTTTTTGGGAAGGAAGGCCCGGGACCGGCCCGAGTAGCCACCGGGTCCGGGCCGGGCCTCCGATTTGGTTTTTTTTTTTTTTGCTTTACTACCCCTCACCCCCCCACCCCCCAAACCCCTCCTAACCATCAAGCCCAACTTGGGTGGAACACCAAAAAAAGAAAAAAGAAATGAAAGAAAAAAAAACAATTCGGCCTGGATCTGGACCCGGCCGGGCCTGTTCGCCAAATATAAGACCCGAGCCCGGACCGCCCCCCACCACCCCCACCGGGCTAGGCCCAACCCGGACCCGAGAACCGGGCCGGTCCACAGGCCGGACGGCCCAAACCAGGTCCAAGAACCAGGTAAGAATGGGGCGGGCTACAGGCTACATAAATCGTGGACCAGGCCGGCTAGGCATGGCCTCGGTTCGGGCCGCCCGGCCCGGGACCGGCCCGACCCGCTACTGTGCGGGCCCGGCCCGGCCCGGTTATCCGGGTCCGGGTCCGGGTCCGGTTCGGGCCGGAGGCCCGGGGGTGGGGCAGTTCCGGGCTCGGTTCATGGTTTTGACGGCCCGGCCCGGCCGGTTCGGGCCCGGGTCCGGGCCAAATCTATTTTTTTTTTAATTTTTTTCATTTGTTTTGGGCTGTTGGGCTTGGGCTATCTGTTTAGGCCGGTTTGGGGGGGTTTGGGGGGGTGGGGGGTGGGGGGGTGGGGGAAGAAAGGAAAAAAAAAAAAAAAAAAAACGGGTGGCCCGACCGGCCCGGCCCGGAACCGGACCCGGAACCGGTGGCCACCGGTTCGGGCTCGGGCCCAACAAAACAGACCCGAGGCCCGGCCGGGCCTAGGCCCGAACCGGGCCCGAACCGGCCCGGGTCCATCCATAAGGCCGGCCGATCCAAGAGAGCCCCAATTATTATTATTTTTAATTGTTGGCATTGGGATGCGTCTAGGTGAGTAGGAAGTAGGATTGGGGGTAGGAAATCTAGGAATAAATTCAAAAAAGCCATTTCTCTCAACACAAAAAAAATGACCGACCAAATCCGAGCCCAGCACAAACCAAGGCCAGTACCAGGCCTGTAACCCAAAACCCAAGTCCCACCCAATCCGGGCCCAGGCCCAGTCCACCCCTACGGGGAATTTTGCTTTGTAATTTATTAGAAATAAAGGATGAAAGATTACTTCAAGTTAGTTTTACCTTGTTTCAAGGTATGGGAATCAAAGCAAACTGCAAATATAGTATGTTCCCCAAGGTTATAGATGCTTTTAATTGAAGATTCTTGTTGAACCAAATAGTTTTTAAGTCTGGTCAAAACTTATCCAGGACTGCAACCAATTAATAAAAAAAATCACGTTGAAACTTGAAACGAGTCATAATTAATAGGTGGAAATAAATTTCATAAATTTTATAATTTGTCATTGTAATAATGGCCTCAAAAGTCCAAACCACAATCTGCTACAAAAAGAAAATACAACTTCCAAAATCATAAACCAAACTCCTCACTGCAAACAAAGAAAAGAAACTCCAACTCATGCAACAGTTTCTTTCTTAAGCTTAGCAAGTTCTTGCCTGACAACACCAGCTTTCTGCAAATTCAGTAAAACACAAATTTAGCATTTCTCACAAGCATACAAAAGATTTAAAAGCGCTCAAAGACAACTAAATATTGATCGGACCAAATAGATTTGAGGAGCTTCACATTATCTTTCTCTCAAAAGATTATTAATATGGATCATCCAGAAAAAAGAATAATGATTTTGGGATATGCTACCCCATCTCCCCCATAAATAGGTCTGTTTTGAAGGCTTTTCTAGGAGTGGATTAGTAAACCAAACTGGAAAATTGTTTGGCAGCCAAACAATGCTACTCCACACAGTCAAGGAAAAATAAATCAGGGAAAACTCAAAGCCAAACAAAATAGTCAGACCAAACCACATCGAAATATCAAACTGAACCACTACTATTAGTCGCAGGTTTGCTTAATCCCGTCAAATCGAACCAATCAGGTCAACCTAACTACAAAGCATCACTATTTAAATTAAACTAATTGACTGTAGAAGAGAAATGCATCAAAAAACTGTAGGGGAGAAACAGTTCATAAATACAGACTACAAATGTCTTATTAATCTTTTTCAGATGCAGCTTAGGTATGTAGAAATATAGAATGAACTGTAGTTTTTATTAGCACATGCGATAGACTGCTTGTATATTAAGGCAGGTATGCTTAATAGTAATGATAGATTTTTCTTTGCAACCCCTTTCTTGGGGTAAATTTGTCAGAAAATCAAATACAGGCTTGGTTGTGTATTTTTCGATTATATGCTTAGGTGTAATGATAAAAGCTTTGGTTTATTAGTCAGTCCTTCTATTGAAGTGTTATTTGGAAAAAATTATTAGATATCTAGAGTTTGTTAACATTGTTAAAATAGTTACGTGACACGAACAAACTGAGATTGTAAAATAAAATAAATTTTCATATAACATATTTTAAGTATGGGAGCATACAAACATTTATGCATCTGTCATTTCCAATGCAAGTTTTTGGACTATTTTTACTTTTTTATGACAAATAGAGAAAGGCCAAAAAGGGACCGAAACAGCCAACACTGTTCAAAGTATTATAATTGAATAAGGCCGAAATAAATATTCTAGTTGAGTTTAGAGTTGAGGTTAGGGTCAAGTTAAACCATTTCAATCAAAGCTGTCACAGCTTTTTTCATCTCAAAAGACTTATGCTTCATAAACAAACTAATTTTACAAAGACTTGGTCAAATATTATAAACAAGTTCAGTGTGATTAATAAATAAATAATTTAACAATATGACTAGGATTCCATAATATTCAAGATGTGGAAATAGTGAAATTAAATTCAAACACATAAGTGAATATAAGATGCCATAGTACAGTGTACATACCTTGATCTTTGCTAGCATCAGCTTGAATCGGTCAAAATCATTGAGATTAGCCCTTTTCTTCTGAACAATCAGCTTCCTTCCCCAAGAGCTGCTTTCCCATTTTCCCTTCACATCTGTCAAGCATAATAATATTCCAAACTCAACATAAGTGCAATCACAATTTCTATGTTTTTCAAAAAAATCAAAACCCACCAGCTGCCTCCATAGCAGCAATAAGAGTTTTCTTTTTTGGAACCCTTTTGATGTCAATCTTGATATCTGTGAGAGAAAGCCTCTTGAAGTTTATCTGGCTTCTAACCATGTCAGGCGCATCAACAAGAGCCTGCCAAGTGCAAAACATGTGAAAAAATCATTCTATCACAAATTTTCAAAATTAATGACAACATAAATTGAGAATACCCATAAAAGACGCATGATAAGTAATTCACCAAGTTATAATACCAAATCATTGGGGTTTGCTAAACTTAATAGGAAGTTAATCATTCCATACAACTGAAGAAATATTACAAATAAGAAACCTTTCAGAGTAGACATTCCAGAGTGGATAAAACAACATCTCATACAAAGCTAACAGACGTTGAAAGGAAAGGTCAAACACATACATGCTATGTCTAAAACTAACTAATCAATTAAAACTTATTAAGGCCCTAGTTGGTGATAAAATTGGGCATTGATAACATACAGCGTTAATTATTAATCAAATCGGTGTGGACGACAATGTTCTTACACAAGTCAGAAATACGACTTTAACACATCTGCTTACGGAAACCAAAATCGACTAGCACGCCAAGAAAAGAAAAGAACGGCGGCAAATGCACAAACATGAAATGTGAAAAGCAAAAGGCTCATCAAGTTTGAAGAGGCATACCCTGTTCTGGTCTATGACATCAACAATGACGACAAGCTTGCCATACTCCTTGCCGTAGTTGACGATGGCAACCCTTCCGATCTCTACGTACCTCTTGAAAGGCTGCACTTTGAAGACAGAGTTAGTTACTAAAAGAATACTGTGTACATGAAAACTTTAATTGCATATTCAGAGAGAATCTCACCATATTTGTTGGGGAGGAGCGAGAGAGAAGGAGTTTGTGCTGGGTGAGAACTGAGAAGAGGCGGAAGTGTAACGGAGGAAGTTGATAAGAATGGCCCGAATTAGGGTTTCATTTGTAATAGAGGTGATCGGCTTTTTTGTTTTTTGTTTTTTCGTGTTGGCTATAGGGCCTAATAGAGATTGGGCTTCATGGCCTGCTTACTAAAATATATACAGAGTACAAGTTGATTAAAGTGATGCTTAAGAAGTTGTTCTTTCGTTTTATTCTTAGAGAAAAGGGACAAATAAGGTCACGTACTAACAAAAAAAGGTCAAATAAAGCCCCATTCAAGAGGCTCTGTCCGACCGTCGCCGTTTCAGGTGGTTCCTGGTGGAATTTTTTGATAAAATTTTTTATGTTTTTTAATAATTTTTAATATTTTTTAATAATTTATGTTTTTAACGTTTCAATGTCAAATTCGCATTATTACAATAAAACACATGTGTAATATTCAATTATTATTGGGGGTTTTACTTGAATATTACTAATTTTGAACCAATTACCCAAAAAGTGACCTTTTTAAAAAGGGACAAAAAAAGTGATCAAGAAGGTCATATATGTGGAATTAGAAAACATGATGTCACTGTGTTCGTTTTTTTTGTAACTACAGCCACCACTCATGTCACTGTAGCCATCGCCCGTGTCATGTATCCATCGTCCGTGTCACTGTAGCCACCACCCTTGCCACTGTAGTCACCGCCCTTGTCACTGTAGCCACCGCCCGTGTCACTATAGTCATCGCCCGTGTCACTATAGCCACCGCCCGTGTCACTATGGCCACCGCCAGTGTCACTGTGATCGTTTTTCGTTTAGTGACGCGGCCAGCCTTAGTCATTGTTGCCACAGCCGGCCGCCACAATGGCGGTTGTCCCCGCAACACCCCTACCCCACCACCATCATTACAGCCCTGCATTACCCCATCACTCAGGCCTAGCCCTACCCATATCACCCCAGACCTGCCTCATCATTTCAGCACTTCCCCACCCCATCATCCTAGTCACGCCCACAATCCCTGCCCCAAACCACCGTCCACCAGAGCTGGCCCAAATCACCAGACCTTCCCCAGGCCCTCAGCCCCAACCTCTGCAATCACCACGCCACCACAATCTGCAGCCACCACCACAATCCGCCGGTCAACACCACCAGCGACCAATATAGCCGTCGCCCAATATGCCCTGCCAAGCCACCGCCGCTCAACACCACCAGCATTCAACCCCAGCCCCACATCGTCACTCCCAACCCTAGCCATCGCGGGTGGAGAGGTTCAACACCTCAACGCCGCCATCGATGTCTAGATCGTCCAACAGCAACATCGGCTCCTCCGATCCAGCGACGGCGGGCTCCATTGAAGTGGACGATGAAATTTTGCGAAGAAGAAAGTGGAAGGAAAAAAATGTTATCGGGGAAGAACGATGGAGGTAGTTGCAGAGGTGGAAGGAATGCCATTGTTGCTCTAGACCAGTGCTCCAGAACTGTGCGGAAGAAGTTTGGGCGAAGAAAAAGAAGGCGCAGATGATGCACGCAGACAGATCGGCGGATGCGAAGCGGAAGCAGGTGGCGGAGGCGACGCAGTGGCATCCGATGGAAACAAGAGCCTGAGCGACCGCCCTTGCTGGCTGCGGAGGCGAGACGGTGGTTTTTCTGTGAGGTGGGGAGATGAACTGATGAACAGCTTGGGACATGGAGAGGATTGGGACGGACAGCTCTGGAGACGGAAATTTGGGATAGACTTTTTAGATTCCAACTCACTTGTTTGTCTTTCCCTAAATTAGTCACATTTTTTTCAATGAAACTCCATAAGTGATATTTAGGCCATTGTTTCATTATTATTTGATATAATGTTTCAATTTCATGACTAAGGTAGACCACAATCATGGGGTGAAGAAGTCAAATGTGATATTTTAACAATTTAACCCCATAAATTTGTGAGACTAGTGTATTTGGAGGTACCAAAGTCGTTCCATGCACCCAGGGTGGAGAGATTTGGCACCCCCATTCACCTATGCCTTGTTGGAAGAAGAATGCTACAAAAAGAAAGACATGTTAATGGTGGCAATACCTCGAGAGGGTGTGACACCCAGGCAACTTTTTTTAAAGTTTATATTTTATTTATTTATATAATTTTCACAAAAATTATATATCAAAATTAATAATTTGTTATGATCTTTGACATCATTATTGCATATATAAAGGTGAAAACGAATTTGAAGTTTTAACTGATGCAAGTTTAAGTTCCAAATCTTTTTTTAATTAGATCAAAGTGCTAAAATATAAAACTCATGGTTAAAATATTATTTTTACATGTTTCGATTATTATTTTTTCAAATAGAGCTCTAAAGTACAAAAAAAAGTATTACTCCAAATTTATATTTTTTACATCAAAATGTTTAACTTTTTAAATCACAATTATTCGTAAAATATTGACAAAAAAATTGATGTATAATAATAAAAGTATGGTTTTAATAAATAAAAAATACTTTGTAAGGTGAATATAGTGACAAAGGTGGGTTGAGGAAAAAATGAATTGCCAAAGTGAATACATATAAACTTGGTGGGAAATTTGATTTATTGATAGAACTGACGGCCTGTTTGAATGCATGTTTATATGGAGTGTTAAAAAGTGCTAGTAATGGAAGTGTTAATGAGTGTTTAGTTTAACATTTATTTGGAAGAAAAATTAAAAAATTAGAGGTGGTTATAAGTGTTGAGGGTGTTATCTCTAACCTTCCTAACAAGTATGTTTATCACCTTTTTAACACCCCAATTTGGGGTTTAGTGAAGTGTTGGACATTCTTTGTCCTTGTTTCAAAAATACAATTCAAATGTTGCCTATATCTCAGACGTTGCTCTTCTTTGTTTGAAATAGAGACTATTCTTCTTCTCCAGATTTGTCTCTTCTCTTTTCCCTAACTCTTCTTCATCTTTTTCGCTTCTCCCAATCTCTCTTTTTTTAATATAAATTAAACAGTAATTAAGCATCATTAACAAAACAACTATCCAATAATCAAGTAAACAACAATTCAGAATAGGAAATAATTCAGGAATTAAAGCTTGAAGCTTATGAAAGTTTGAATGCAAGCATTGAAACAGTTATGATTGAAATTGAAAGATAACAAAAGATAAACTGAAACTATTGCTGCTGCTATGCTATTCTTTTCTGCTGGGAATTTTCTACGCTGATGTGTTTGTTATTCTTCCTAGTAGCCTGTGTTTCGTTCCGTGAGTTAGAGCTTCCTATCACATGTCTACGTTGTTTTTTCTGTCAAGAGCTACGGCTGACTTGCAATAATCTATCTTTGCCTCTCCAATATATTTTTCATCGATTCATTTGTAATACTGGATTCTATTTTAATTGGTGTTTCATAAAATCAGGACAATGTTTCATAGTGTCTGATCAGGGAGATTACTACTTGTTGTTCCAGTACTCCACGGCGCAATCACATAGGAAGTTTTTGTTAAGATTATACTACGTGTACGATGATCAATTTGATGGTTGTTACTATATTTCTGCAATTTTCTCATAAATCGACATTATTTTCAATAAAGATAAAGATATCAAATTAATAAAAGGCATCCTAGGTTCCAAGAAGGTCTTGTTTGAATATATTGCTTAGAGCAGCATAGGTTATGAAACCCTAGACAATTGTGTTAAAGGTCAGGTTCACCATCTGCTTAACTTCTTTCTTCTTTTAAATAGGATAGCTTTATATATATATATATATATATATATATATATATATATATATATGTATATGTATATCTGGATCTATGTGTGTATCTGTATACATGCTATTTTTAGGTGTATCAAATAACAAAAAGTTCACCTAAAAAGTAAAAATTTGATACTAGCTAGGAGAGTTGTTCAATATTTAGCTATAACGAAAGTTGTATGCATTGTTACATATTTGGTTGGATTGTGAAAAAGGAACAACCTGAATCGTGTTCTATCATTGATTAGAGGGAGAAAAAGTAAGGACTACGCTATTCCACAAGGTTGTAACTCATGATTTACGTCATAGTATCACACGATTGGGAGCAAAAAACATTCATGGGACTTTGTGAACATTCAACTCACATTACGTGTTAGTGTTGAAGAACATGTAGCAAAAGTGCAACCTTATATGTGTTAGCACATGATGTGACCAATTGGGAGTTACATTTCTTTTTATATCAGTTTGGAGAAACGAATAATCATCATTTTCATAACGTCTTGAAAGCTATATTAGAAGTGGAGGATATATTTCGCATATAACCAAATGGATCTGAAGTTCTCGCCCAAATATTGAACAACTCTCCTAGTATCAAATTTTTAGGTGAAGTTTTGTTATTTGAACATCATATCGAGTATAAGATCAAAATACTCAATTTAATTTACAACGTTAGGATTCTGTTGGGGCTATTGGTGGAAGACACATTCATGTAAAAGTGTCTCCTAGTGAAGCTCCGTGGAAAAGACAAATCTACACTGAATGTTTTGACTGCATGTTCATTTGATTCGAAATTCACATGTGTTAGCTGGATGAGAGAGTACAACATATGAATCTAGAATTATCCAAGATGAATAAATAAGAGATTATCCTCTGAAACTAAAGTCCCATAAGATATTTATAAAGTAAAATTTTGTGTAAGTGTATTATGAGTAACTAGATTCTCACTCGTGCGATGTACGGATGAAAAAATATCAATGTGTGATTAAGAATTGTATTATAAAAAACGCATAAATAGTTGAATTTAGAATAACGTGGTAAGTAATACAATAAGTGTTCATAATGAAAGAGAGATTAAAACATTGCCGCAAAAGAAAAAATGTAAATATTATAAAAGAGATGTAACATAAGTGATAAGTAAAATAATAAGTGTTCATAGCGAAACAACAAATTTTGGAAAACTTCTTTGTAAACAACATTAGTCATATGATCGATTTGTTAGCTAAAATATTTGAGATTTCTTCATTTGCAATTGGTCTTGTGCAAGCCAGGGAACTGAAATTGATTCCCACCGATCGAGGAGGATACTGACTATAAACCCTATTGTCAATGTTTTCCGCAGAATAAAAGCAAAAAAAATACATTCATTTTTTAGTTTTAATTTAAACAAAAAACACAAACATTTTATTTTTATGATATATAGATATATACATATATAAGCTTATAAACA